TATTCCAGTATCGAAAGCTGTACTAAAGCGTGCAGTACAGTATATTATGGCCAAAGGTACTGCAATACTGAAAATACTGGCAGTATTGTACTGTACTAAACCTGCCCGTGAAATCATTCGCAAGGCGGAGTTAGGGAAAACGGGAAAACTGGAAATATGTAGGGTGTAGCGTTCACTATTCTGGATATGTCCCCGGACCCGGGCGGACCCGGGGGTGGGAATACACACACACATTCTTCTGGTGGCTTCCTGCATTCGCATTCCGTTTCACTCGGTTAACTCTTGCCCCTTCCTTCCGTTGCTGTTCGCGTATGGTACCATATTGGCGTTGGCTGGAACAGGACGCTCTGTGCAACGCCAAGACCACGGGCTGCACCGACCTCGACGAGACGCCTGACTGCCAAACGCCGCTTATCATCGGTGCCGGTCGAGCTATCGGTAGCTGAGGCGACGGACGTGGTGAGCGAGGCGGGCATGATGTTTCGTGGCATCACAAGGCCGGTGTTCGTCTGCAACATGGGCTGAATTGAATGTACACCGCGTTGTTGATCTCGGGGCGCGATTTTGGTGTGCTGCTGATGATTTCGGTCCCGATGAACGAGCTGCTCTTTGCCAATCGACTACAACACACACGTTCAAGCCCGAGAACTTCGCTGCACATAGCATAGCATACGGGACACGACCGCACGCCTCTAACATCTTTGTGGAGGCTAAGGCTTGTTGGTGATTGCTATGTATACGCGTAAGCGTGAAGTTTGCCCAACGCGTGTACAACGTTGTGCAAACGATGAACGAACATATTTGCCTCCCCTCCAGGGAACACCCACCCCCGCACGCATTCCACACCCGGAGAAGCTATTCAGCTACATACTCCGGAGTAGCTCATTTGACGCTGCATAGCTCATCAAATGACCGCATACAGCAGACACGGCGTGGTCTTCCTTTACAGAAGTATGCTTGCACAGCATGAGACAAGACCGAACACACGTTGCTCCCCCCCCACCCCCACCCCCCCCCCCCCCCCCCCCGGGCGCCCTCTGGCAAACAAAGCAACGCCCAGAACGAATCTCATTGCTGTTTCCATGCACCATTCTCGCTATCCTTAGTATCCACAGCGTGGNCCCAGCAGCCCCAGGCTCCGACTCCTGCCACGGCTTCCAGCAGCAGTGGCCCATCCTTCTTGGCCACTGGCACATCCTTCACGGCGATCGTGGTCGCTGATTTCGCCCTCAGAAAGGCGTTTGTCCGAGCGGGGATAGCATTTCCGCCCAGCCTCGCGGGCATGGTCGGGTTGTTCGCAGGTAACGGGGGGGGGCAGAGGAGAGAAAGGGTGGAAGAAAGGGGATGGGAGCACGGCGGGGGCGGGGGCGGCGGCGTTTGGACGGGATTTTGCTTGGAAAGGGTTGTGGTCGCGGCGGCGGACTAACCACTCACCCAGCAACGGGTCAATGTTAACACACATCAAACGTGCTCCTGACCCCGCGTTATTGTCGTCGTCGCAACTCAGGATTGGTCGTCTTGGAGCGCGCTGCCCCCAAGTCGGCCGAAGGTATCGTTAGCTTGCTGGAGCCAGGAGCGGCGCTCTTGGCCAGGTGGGAGTCGTTGGATCAGTTGTGAAGAGTCGTTGCATCGTGCAGCATTTGCAACTATTAGTCACCACGGGTAGCGTGCCATTAGGTGTGCATTCCAGCGAACCAGAACCCCACTACAGCGCTCCATCCAGTACATTCTAGACGAAACACAACGTTTTGGAGGCTATCAACCCCGAGTTGCTGGGTTATTTGACGGCATGTGTGATTCCGCGCCCTCTAAGTTCTTCTGGCTGCCTCTCCCGCCACGCCCCCACGCGTCGCCAGATGGCTGCCTGTATTTTTCGCCCCCAGCTTGGTGGTCCTCCCGCTGTCGCCGCCCCCGTCCTCGGTAAACGCCCTCAAGCTCCTGCTACTGGTCTGCGGCGGCTGGTTCGTGAGCCTATCGTCCACCGCGGCCGTAGTCGGCGCCCTTTCCACACCGGCCGATGCCTCAACCACTGATTCTGCGGCGCCCCCGAAGACGTTGGCGCCGGTTTTCCGGGGTCCCTTTGTCAGGGACCTAGGCGCCGGCGCGATGGTGTCGGGTGTACTGGCGGTCGCCGGCGGGTCCGGGCAGGCGCCAGGCGCGCTGCTTGCGAAGCTCTCCAAGCCCGCCGCCCAGCTGTCGCTGCTGCTGGCGACTCTCTGCGGCTTTACGGCGGGCACGCGCATGCCTAGGCGAGTCTCCAAGGCGGTGCACCCAGTCGTGATGTGCTCGGCGGTCGCAATGGGGACCGCGGCGGCTATCGGCAAGGGGGTCGGGCTGGGCTTTGCCGACATGCTCAGGAGCTACCTCACTAGGTCCAGGTGAGTCGAAGGTGGGATCTGGCACGATGGAAGAGCACGTCAGACATCTCACGGCTCGCCCTCCGTCAGGTTGTGTTGTGGCCTGTGGCCGTTGTGGCATTTCACGCGCCGCTCCGCGACAAGGGGAGCCATGGACTGGACCTCTACCTCGACTCAGCTCAGTTTGGGACCACTCAATTCCATTGTGAATCCCTCCTCCCCCCATCCTT